GGGAAAGGGCCCTGGTTCTGTCTCGGGAAAGGGCCCTGGTTCTGTCTCGGGAAAGGGCCCTGGTTCTGTCTCGGGAAAGGGCCCTGGTTCTGTCTCGGGAAAGGGCCCTGGTTCTGTCTCGGGAAAGGGCCCTGGTTCTGTCTCGGGAAAGGGCCCTGGTTCTGTCTCGGGAAAGGGCCCTGGTTTTGTCTTGGGAAAGGGCCCTGGTTCTGCCTCTGGAAAAGGCCCAGGTTCTGTCTCGGGAAAGGGCCTGGTTCTGTCTCGGGAAAGGGCCCTTGTTCTGTCTCGGGAAAGGGCCCTGGTTCTGTCTCGGGAAAGGGCCCTGGTTTTGCCTTGGGAAAGGGCCCTGGTTCTGCCTCTGGAAAAGGCCCAGGTTCTGTCTCGGGAAAGGGCCTGGTTCTGTCTCGGGAAAGGGCCTGGTTCTGTCTCGGGAAAGGGCCCTGGTTCTGTCTCGGGAAAGGGCCCTGGTTCTGTCTCGGGAAAGGGCCCTGGTTCTGTCTCGGGAAAGGGCCCTGGTTCTGTCTCGGGAAAGGGCTTTGGTTCTGTCCCTGGAAATGGCCCGGTTTTGTCTTTGGAAAGTGCCCCAGTTTTGTCCCAGGGAATAGCCTTGGTTATGTCCCTGGAAATGGCCCTGGTTCTGTCCCTGGAAATGGCCCTGGTTCTGTCCCTGGAAATGGCCCTGGTTCTGTCTCTGGAAAGAGCCCTGGTTCTGTTTCTGGAAAGAGCCTTGGATTTGTCCCTGGAAAGGGCCCTGGTTCTCCATGGCGGCATCGTACGGGATCTGTTCCTTTACACACACCGTCTCTGGGAATGGATTGGGACATTGGCAGCCATGTCTGGCATGGACTGATAGTCACACGACTGATGGTATGGACTGATGGTCACATGACGGATGGTATGGACTGATGGTCACATGACTGATGGTATGGACTGATAGTCACATGACTGATGGTATGGACTGATAGTCACATGACTGATGGTATGGACTGATAGTCACATGACTGATGGTATGGACTGATGGTCACATGACTGATGGTATGGACTGATAGTCGCATGACTGATGGTATGGACTGATAGTCGCATGACTGATGGTATGGACTGATAGTCACATGACTGATGGTATAACCTGATGGTCACATGACTGATGGTATGGACTGATGGTCACATGACTGATGGTATGGACTGATAGTCACATGACTGATGGTATGGACTGATAGTCGCATGACTGATGGTATGGACTGATAGTCACATGACTGATGGTATGGACTGATGGTCACATGACTGATGGTGTGGTCTGATGCCACCCGCCCTGTGTGTGTGAGGAGGGGCCGTGGCCGCTGCGTCCTCGCTGGACCTGATGGCATTGTCATGGTGACGGTTTCCCTTTAACATCCAGAGATCTGAGCGGATACCTGGCAGCCCCCTTTTTCCACTCCCTCCCCGGGGCCCGGCGGTGTGAAGAAGGTGGCGTCTGTCTGAGGTTTGGCCCCGGAACACTTTTGCTGTAAGAGCAGAATTCCAGTGTTGGCGCGGCGAGAGGTGCCGGCTTTTGATGATGAAAAACGTCTCCCATTCCATCTACACGGCCGGGGAATGGCGGGATCAAAACATCGGAGCCCCGAGCCCATCCGATAACGCCGATCTGAGTCATCCGGGATTGTGGGCGGTGTGTGGGGGGCGGCCGCCAGAGCCGTGTGCCAACCTATCCCAAACTGACCTTCCACCTGCCCAACTCCTATTTATTTCCTGCCTCTTATCTTACCCCTGTGGGATCATCCCGCGCCCATCCCCCACCTCCCTGCCTCATGCCTGGGGGCTGTTAGGGTCTTAGTTTGCCTACCCCCGCTCTATAGGGGGTTATATAGGGGGGAGGGGTTAATGAAAACGATCGGCCGCGTTCTATTGCCGGGAGATAATCACACGGAGAATCTTCTCACCTCTGAAATCATTCATAAGAATCTTCCATTAGCGGATCAGAAATAGAATCCGACTGCCATGTGCAGGGGGGGCTGCGATTAACCCCTTCATGTGACCTGCCGCCAGACGTGGACGCCATGTTCCCGGGTCTGGGTATAAACCTGCGCACTCAGGTGGAGGGGTGACAGTTGCCTGATGGCTGCCCCACAGCCACACAGCCCCAATAAGAGCCCACCCAGCCCCCCTAGAGCGCCCACACAGCCCCCCTGAGAGCTCTTCGCAGTGGTGGATAAACCCATCTCTGTCCACATTTCGGTGTCCCGGTCACTGACTTTCCATGCCGTTCCAATAGACCAGGACAAGCTTTTTTTTATTAATTTGATTTCATCTAATTGCCTCTTTGTTTCCTCTCCATCCAGAGACCGCGACTACCATCTGAAGACCTACAAGTCCGTCATCCCGGCCAGTAAACTGGTGGACTGGCTCGTATCTCAGGTGAGGGGATCAATGGGCCGGTGATACAATTGTGTGTGATCCCTACTGATGGAGACACAGAGGGAGCTGAGTACATGCGCCTCCCGCATGTCTTATCCCAATACCCCATCATCCGCCTGGTGACAACTCGGCCTCCAAATTCCCAAGCGTTGTTCTCAGGCCTGATGGACTATAAAACACCTCCCCATTCTATTATAGAGACAAGGAGAGGGAAGGGTTTTGTAGAACTGATTCACAGCTACGTTGTCAGGAATTTGGGAACTCGCCGGATTTCTGCCGGGATTTTTATTTCTTTAAAGGGGAACACACGGGGGAACGTTCATGTGTTGCAGAACACATGAACAGCTGAACAGCTGATAACATTGTAACATTGGAGTTCCACTTCCTGTCGGGATCATCGGTTCCACTTCCTGTCGGGATCATCGGTTCCACTTCCTGTCGGGATCATCGGTTCCACTTCCTGTCGGGATCATCGGTTCCACTTCCTGTCGGGATCATCGGTTCCACTTCCTGTCGGGATCATCGGTTCTACTTCCTGTCGGGATCATCGGTTCTACTTCCTGTCGGGATCATCGGTTCCACTTCCTGTCGGGATCATCGGTTCCACTTCCTGTCGGGATCATCGGTTCCACTTCCTGTCGGGATCATCGGTTCCACTTCCTGTCGGGATCATCGGTTCCACTTCCTGTCGGGATCATCGGTTCCACTTCCTGTCGGGATCATCGGTTCCACTTCCTGTCGGGATCATCGGCTCCACTTCCTGTCCGCCTCATCGGTTCCACTTCCTGTCGCAATCATCGGTTCCACTTCCTGTCGCAATCATCGGTTCCACTTCCTGTCGCAATCATCGGTTCCACTTCCTGTCGGGATCATCGGTTCCACTTCCTGTCGGGATCATCGGTTCCACTTCCTGTCGGGATCATCGTAGTTGCACTTCCTGTCCGGATCATCATATCCGCTTCCTATGGAACGTTTTCCGGGGCTGTGATTTCAGGGTGACGTCCTCCAGATCCCAGGACGCACGCACGGCAAAGCGATTTGGAAATCTTCACATGCTTTTCTAATTGCGCCCGCGACGTAGCTCCGCCTCCTGACATTTGGGCATAAACAACGCTTTGGATTCGGCTCCCCGCGTCCAGGAGATCCTGATAGAAAACTGGCCCGCGGACGCGTGGAGCTCAGTGACATCACCCCCCTCCCCCGATGGCTGACATCTCCCTGACCCGAATCTGGAAGTCTCTGACAATCTGGAGGAATTGGAAAGTTTTCTCGGAGGAGCCGCCGTCGTCTCTTTATGAAGTCTCGCCGCTCGGGGGATGGAAACAATTTCAGGAAAATAAAGGAGAAATGATTTCCGAGCG